AATGAACATGAAAATTTCTTCCTGTATTAAGTGAAAATTCCTGTATAATACAGGAAATTCCTGTACGTTTGGCAACGCTAATTGCAAGTCTCAGCTAAATCTGGCTATACTAATTTATAAGTTATTGGCCATGCTCACTTTGATATATTACAGGTAATTGTTATTATTTATACTATTAATGTTTAATAATTTTTAATTATGTCAAGGTATATTTTAATATTAGAAAATAACAATGATATCTAATTAATTACGTAACTTAATTATGTAAATTGTAACATTGTAACGAAGTAATGCAATTAATTATATTTAATCATATGTTATAAATAACACAATTTCCAAAATTATAGGTATATGTATTACAAAAAGAGATACCCCTTCCCGGAGGCTCCCATACAGCTAATGGCGGGCGCAGTTACACCCAGGAGTGTAGGGCTGGTCGATGAGGGGGTTATCATAGAGATGTCCAAATCGGCTAAATTCTGGTTTAATCACACAAAGACCAACACTAATCTCGTAGGTTTGGCCGCATTTATAGTATGTGTATTTCCCGTCCACTTCGGTGTCAACGACTGGTCACTGTTTCCCATATACTTTCCGTGGGGTGTAATCAACGCACTGAGTATGCGATATGTGTTTAACATAAGCCACTGGACGTACACTTATTTCTATCTGATTTGTTTCTACCATAAGGCGCGTATGAAACAGACCCGGCTTATGATCAATGCCCAGTACGTAAAGTACGGCCGAACAACTGACCAACACGTCTATTATCTGATCAATACGTTTGCCGGCATTTATGCTGATATCTCTGAGAATAATAGTCGCTTTTTCAAAACGTTCTCGATCATTTTTTTGCCCCTATTTATGATTCTACTTGATTGCACAATATTTGCAGTGTTTTTCTCAGAATTGCCCCTGGTGACCAGGTTTGTTTTTGGCTATGTGTTATGGTCGGGATCTTTCATTATATTAAGTTATCTGAGAGTTGTCTCGAGTGTCGCCGAAGAGGCGAAGAAAGCTTACAAACCGTTGCATAAATTGCAAACAACTTTGAAAACAAATTCAAACATTTGCCGGTATAAGGTATGCTTTTTTAGTCATTGTAATTACTTTTCTGTTAATTAAGAAATGTTAGATATAATTTTACATGAATTAATAAATTATCTTGTTAATCTTGTGTTTTATTGATTTGCGTTTTTCTTAATAGTTAATGATATTCATCGAGAAAGTGGGCAAAAAGGATGTGGGCTTTACTTTTGGCTTTTTATTTATGTTTACTTATTTCAAATCGTATGAAATATTATCACTTTTGGGCGCCTTTTTCTTTAAAGTCATGGAATTATAATAAATGTAACTTCACTATTAATTAATCAAACATACCTAATACTGCATATGAATAAATAGCATCTCGATAAATTTTATTTTTATCGCAAATGTTATATAAATAAAATTAGACATCTTTTTCAGTTGAATAAATTATCTTGATAATTAAAATTAAAATTACACACATGCAGCCGGCCTATTAACGTTATAAATTATTGTTAATTTTATAATATTTTAAAATAAAGCCTTTATCTGCATATGATCCGGATCATAATATGTCCCCATAATAAATGTAGAATTGTAAATTGTAAATTGTAATTTATAATTTATAATTTATAATTATGATCAGAATAATTTACTAAATACAGTATATGTATTAAATATTTTTAAAGTAAAAATATATAAGCAAATTATATATTAACCATTGTTATTTATTAACAACTAATTAAATTTAAATATAATTAATCACAACCATGTCTATATTCTAGATTCTAGAATAAAACTCAATATAAAATATAATCATAATAAATGATGTTGTAATTATATGTACTATTAATATTAAAAATTTGACATATAATTATATAAAGAATTTATTTTACTGTAATTAATGAATTTTAAATGTCATATTATTATATGTGTATTATAAAAATTTTATGCGCTATAATAAAATAATAAAATACATATTATAAAATATTACCATGATAAAAGTAATAATTATAATAATAAATATCTGTCAGTTTTATTATAATTAGTATTGTCCAAAAAGCAATAAAATGTGATTTATCAAATTATATTTATGCCACATTAATAATATTTAAATTAATAACCATCAAGCATTCTCTATCTGAACTGTAACAAGCGCTTTTGAGTTTATGTTTGGTTGATTCAAATTCAACTTCATGTATGTAACTTTTAAATATAATATTCACATTCATGTTACATCTATTAGTATGTAAATAAAAAGTAAGTAATATATTTTAACTTTATTTTTATAAATATTATATTAATATTATTATGCCTAAAAATATTATTAAACTAACAATTAAAAATATAAATGTCAATTAAGATATACATTTAAACAAGATACTATTTATATAAACTGTCACTATAAATTTTATATTAATGTCATTTTAATGTATAAATATTATAAGAACTTTATAAGTATTATAAGAACATTACCAGAATAGTATCATTAATAAACATGCCAAGTTTTCGTACTCAAAATTCAATAAATAGTATTACAAATAAATGTAAAATGTAATGTATATATTTAGGTTATAACGTTTACAATCCTTATTTTAAAAATGATAACTACTGTATATTTTGTGTTTGTTATAAATAAAGAATTATGCATTAATAAAATAGACAATAATTAGGAATACAGTAGATATTATTATTAACTATTCATAAATTACCCGGACCATATGCACATGTTTTAAATATAATAAAATATAGTTACCTCATTTACAACCATTAATCATGTTAACATGCTATGTTCACGTGCTCAATTTTAATTATCATGATTTATTAAATATGAATTAAAAATTAAGTTTAATTGCACTTATATAACATTTGAAATGAATATTAAAGTTTTATAACGCATTTAGAACTACCCTCAAATATTATTACAAACTAGATAAAACTAATATGACAATTAATGATAAAAACTACCAATTAAATATTGGCTATCATTAAAACATGTATTTTGCATATTCTTGTTATAAAAAATTTTATTTAGCATTAGCTATTGAAAAATTTACAAGTGAGTGTATTTAATAATACAGTATTTATCATAAAGTACTAATTAGTTTGGGTGACTATATATTTTAATGTCAGTCAATGTAAAATATGCATCCAATACCGCGAATCTATTGGTATTTTATGTTACATACTGTACAACCATATGTTATTTACGTTATAATGAATATACAGTGTGTAAAACAACAAAAGTCATTGTGATTACCCGGGGGTTTACATTGATAAATATTAGAAATATTGTAAAACACATTGATCTAAATCATTTCTCACACTTACTTGTTAATTGTTTTTAAATATACTGAACAGAATTTTCATGTATGGTCATAGAACCATAAGTTGGATAGTTTTTGAAAAGCGCGCATAAATTACATCTAAATAATATTCTTATACAGCTTTTTAAAAACTGTAAAACTTACGATACAATGACTTTATTGCTTCGTTAATAACAAATATGAAGGAATTCATTACAAATTAGATAAAAATAAGTCAACAAAAAGTTATATTTCGTAAACAACGATATGTTTAAACGGAAAGCAAAGAAACCCAAAGTGAAGATTACTGTCTCTCCGGACTACCCGTTGCCGCCGGAGTTGAGACAAGACAACTGCGGAACACATCCTTACGTTCGGGGCCTCACATCCCACCGATGGGCCGATGAGCGCAGGCATCGACTCCATCACCCGAATATGATGTTCGCCACCTTGTTCATTTGTTTTTGTCGGGATACGTACGGCTTCCTAATGCCGCTGGACAAACAACTGGCCACTTATATCGGCGATTATCCATATTTTCTCAACGTTAAAGCACAGTTAAATCTTGGTGTAGTGGCGTATAGTGGAATGGCCATGCTTACTCTAATTTATTACAGGTATTTTATTTTATTAAAAAATTATGGCATTTTATTTTATATTAAAATTTTCACATATTTTAATATAATACGGATATATCGATAACATAAGAATTATAATATCCATTCAATAATATGCTTATAGGTATTTGTATCACATTAAGAGATACCCCTTCCCGGAGGCGCCCATACGTCTAATGGCGGGCGCAGTAACTCCCAGGAGTGTAGGACTGATCGATGAGGCGGTTATCATAGAGATGTGCAAATCGGCCAAATTCTGGTTCCATCACACGAAACGTAACACTAATATCGTTGGTTTGGCCGCATTTGTCATATGTTTTGCACCCGTCCACTTTGGCACAGGCGACTGGACACTGTTTCCCATATACTTTCCGTGGGGTTTTATTAACGGAATTGGTGTGCGTTATGTGTTTAACATTAGCCATTGGACGTATACGTATTTTTATCTAACTTGTTTTTACCATAAGGCGCGTATGAAACAGACCCGGCTTATGATTAATGCTCAGTATGAACAGTATGGCCGGACAACTGACCAACACGTCTATTATTTGATTAATACGTTTGCCGGCATTTATGCGGATATTGATAAGGATAACGATCGCTTTTTCAAAACGTTCTCGATTATTTTTCTGCCACTATTTATGATTTTTGTTGATTGTGAACTGACTACAGAGATAGCTCCCAATCTGCATATAGTGACCAGGATCGTTTTTGGCTATCTGTTATTTTCCGGGGTTAGTGTTATATTAAGTTATCTAAAAGTGGTGTCGAGTGTCGCCGAAGAGGCGAAAAAAGCGTACAAACCTTTAAATAAATTGCAAATAACTTTGAAGCAAAATTCAAACGTTTGCCGATTAAAGGTATATTTTTTAATCATTGTAATTATTTTTTTTATTAATGATGGTAAGAAATGTTAGACATAATGTTATGATTCATAACTTATGGAGTAGAAAATAATCTAGTGTTTTATTGATTTGCGTTTTTGTTAATAGCTAATGATATTCATCGAAAAAGTTGGCAAAAAGGATGTGGGCTTTACTTTTGGCTTTTTATTTATGTTTACTTATTTCAAATCATATGAAATATTATCACTTTTGGGGGCGTTTTTCTTTAAAGTCATGGAATTATGATAATACCTACTTATCTAATAATTAATCAAACATGTCAAATAATTAATATAATTAAATGGCATAAATTTAGATATTATTACATGTTTAATAATTAAATACATATCTATAAGTTATTTAAATCTACTTATTGATTTTAAATATATAATAATGTATTTTTAATTCTACCATAATTAATAAATTATTTTAAAACTTTAAATTTAAATAACTCTTATATTATATGTAATCTTAATGTTTAAATACACAAAATAAATATTATTTAAAAATAATGTCAGAAATGAACGTTTTCAATGTCGTGATTATTTATAATTATTGAATATTTATAAGGTGTAAGTTTGTTTATTAAAATATTTTAAAATTATTATGCCATTTACAAATAATTTATGATGATTTATGATGAATAAGCCAACTGCATGTGTTTTATTATAATTTTAAACACGATTTATTAAACATCCGATTATAAAAATTATATTTAATTTTATTTATACATGTAAAGGTAAAATGACTAATTACCTTATATTTATATTTCAATTATTAAATAAATTTTGTTAATTTCATTCATTTAAATATTAGGCAATATTTAAAATAAGTGAATCCTATTTTCATGACCAGAATGTTAAACACAAACACTGCCGACAATTACACACACAATACTGTACACACATTCCCAGAATAAACTGGACATCAAATGTGATCCAATTGTCATCCAATTTAAGTCCTAAACTTACAACACATACAGACAGTCATAACAAAAATGTAAATCTTGACACTTTTGCACTATTTGTGCAGAATAAAATAGAATAAAATTGTATTTTTAAAACAAAAGTTTAAAATAAATTAATTAATGTTTTAATTAAATTTAAATGAAATCATTATTTTCATTATCACTTTATGTATATAACATTTAAATTATAAATAAAATTCAAAATAAAATAACAAATACTGTGTAAGCGTTAAATATTTTAATAAATAAACTTTTACCTGTATATTGTACCTTATAAATATTTAATAATGATAAATTATCACAACATAGAAAATGATTAGTTTTGATTTTATTTTTAAATAATATTTATTTTGTGTATTTAAACATTAAAATTACATACAATATAAGACTGAGTTTTAAAATTTACTAAGATAGGAAGGATGCGAAAATCCTTTAGCTGATCCAGTCGTAATTGATATGATCATGTCTGGTATTGTATGCAGATTAATAAACAATCGTGAGAACGTGCGAATGGCCAGAATCATTGATATCATGGTCATATTTCTAGCCACATGCAAACGCCTTATAGAATTATAAAAGTGAATGTGAATGTCTTTAGTTTTGGTAAATGGCATTACTCATGTGAAAAGCCAATTGTCAATGTATTTAGCCCTATGCAATTGGTTAAAAATATAGCCACTCTTCGGTGTTTGTGGCCATTCGCACGTTCGGTCGATTGGTAAATCCTTATTTTTTATTAAATGTTAAATTAATTATAAATTCATAATTTTAAAGAAATAGGCGAATATAAGTGACAATATTTCATAGGATTGAAAATTTGTAAACATAAATAAAAAGCCAAAAGTAAAGCCCACATCTTTTTTGCCCACTTTCTCGATGAATGCCATTAACTAATCAACAAAAATCATAAACGATTTAATATGACATAATTCAACTAGCAAAACAAATCAAGTGACCATGATCATATAAAATATAACATAAAACATACCTTTAAGCGACAAAGCGATGAATTTTGTTTCAAAGTTATCTGCAATTTATTCAACGGTTTGTACGCTTTTTTCGCCTCTTCGGCGACACTCGACACAACTCTCAGATAACTTGTTATTGTGAACACACCTGTCGTGCATAAATAGCTAAAAGTTAGCCTGTTTATTAGGGGCAATTCCGTGGACATGGTAAACAAAAGACAATCGACAAAAATCATGAATAGGGGTAGAAAAATGATCGAGAATGTTTTGAAAAAGCGATCGTTATCCCTATCAATATCAGCATAAATGCCGGCAAACGTATTGATCAAATAATAGACGTGTTGGTCAGTTGTCTTACCATACTTAACATACTGGGCATTAATCATAAGCCGGGTCTGTTTCATACGTGCCTTATGGTAATAACATACCAGAAAGAAATATGTGTACGTCCAGTGGCTTATATTAAACCCATATCGATAAGCTAAACCGTTGATTACACACCACGGAAAGTATATGGGAAACAGTGACCAGTCGTTGGCCCCCAAGTGGACGGGAAGGAGACAGAAGACAAATACTATCAATCCGAACGCATTGGTACTCCGTTTTGTGTGATTGAATCTGAATTTGGCCGATTTGCACATCTCTATGATCACCGCCTCATCAAACAGTCCTACACTCCTGGGAGTGACAGCGCCCCCCATTAGGCGTATGGGCGCCTCCGGGAAGGGGTACTTCTTTTTATAAAACAAATACCTTTAATGTAAACAAATTTAATGATTATTTTTTATAAGAAAATATTTTTTGTAATCTTATCTATTAATATATTTAAGCAATTTTGATAATGTATTTATAATTTTATTATATAAATATATACGGCTTTATTGTTTATATAATTAAGGTAAACAACTTAAGGTTCACAAACTTTAGCTGTGAATAAATTTTTGTACCATGTTTAATTAATTAACTATAATTATAATTGTTAATAATGTATAATAAAATTTACAATTAGACTATGAATAAGCTCAAAATGTTCAAAAATTATATAACTTAGAATTAAAATGTTCTAAATAATTTAAATACTAATTACCTGTAATATAATAAAGCGAGCATGCCAAACAAACTATGCGTCACTTGGGCCAAATTTAATTGAGCTTTCACATTAAGAAAGTACGGATAATCGCCGACATAAATGGCCAGTTGTCTGTCTCTTGGCATTAGGTAACCAAAAATACTGCGAATAAACGCCAAAATCAGCGCTACAAACATGATGACCGGGTGATGGAGTCGATGCCTGCGCTCATCTGCCCATCGGTGGGATGTGAGGCCCCGAACGTAAGGATGTGTTCCGCAGTCGTGTTGTCTCAACTCCGGCGGCAACGGGTAGTCCGGAGAGACACTGAGCTTTACTTTCGGTTTCTTTGGTTTCCGTTTAAACATTATTTTCTATGAGATATACTTTTTAGATTGACTTTTGAGATCTAGATTGAAAATTGATTCAGTTTTATGTGATATTAATAATAATATATTATACGCCAAACTCATGGTCATAATTAATAAAACTACTACCAATATGACAGTATAATTTATTACTTTCCGTATACACTGGAATAATTTTCATAACACATACTCATTGTATGAGGTAACTTTAATAAAAATTATAATTTTTGGAAATAATAAATTTTATTTCAACAACAAGAAATATATTTTATCATATTTAATATAATTAGAATTATACATGAATTATTTGAACATAAATTATCTATAAATTACCCGGGTCATAGGCAGATATTGTTGATGTATTTTAATATTTTAAATATTCTATAAATAAAATTAAACTTAATTTTTATAGTTAGATTTTCAATAAATCATGGTAATAATTAAAATTATAATAAAACACATGCAGTTGGCTTATTAAACATAATAAATTATTGTAAATTGCGTATCTCATAATAAATTTAAAATATTAAAATATATCTACAATATCTGCATATGACCCGGGTAATTTATGAACAGTTTATGTCCAAATAATTCATGTATAATGTTAATTATAGTAAATACGATAAAATATATTTCTTGTTATTGTAATAAAATTTATTATTTCCAAAAACTATAATTTTACGATGAGTGTTATTTATGGAAATTATACCGGAAAGTAATAAATTATACTGATCATATTGGGAGTAGTTTGAATGATTATGGCCATGAGTCTGGCGTATTACGATAATAATTGTATTGTGATTATTTTTATTATATTATTTACTATTAAAGATTGTACTGTATTGTAAGGTGTGGTTGTATTGTACTAGTTCTACATATTTGTAAGTTTGTTGATACTTTTCAGGTTTAAGTTGATTATGGTTAAGTAAGGAAGGTAAATATAATAAATATTTATTATTAAATATATGTATTATTACCAAATATTAATATTAATTTACATTTTATTTAACACAGTAAATATTGCATATAGTAATTACTGCATAGACATTATTAATATTTCGCATGTTATATAATATTATCCTAATATTTTATAATAATTAGCCTATTCACATTTAGAATAAATTTTTAATTAATTATAAATTAATATATTATGATGCGCATTTAAACATTAATAAAATATTATTATTTTACTGCACAATTATTAATTGCAGTATGAGATTAATGAAATGATTTAGAATCAATATTTGGCCAAGATAATAAAATACTACAACTAATGCTTTTTAATGACATTATTTTTATAATAAAAATCTTAATTGTTTTTATTGCAACACTATATCATTAATATATAATTAGAACACTATAATTGATCATGATATTTATAATTAATTTCTAACATGAAAATTATGTTTATATTATTATTATTAGATGAATATAATGTCGTAATTGAATGTAACTGTTAAGATGTAAACATCATGTTTTGTGTTACAATGTCTTAAGTAGTGTCTAAATAAAAACTATTTTCATATTATATTAAATTATATGTAGTATAAATATTATCAGTAATATTAATAAAAATTTAATTAATAAAAATATTTGCAGCAAGTTTATTATTAAAATTATATAATAGAATATAAAGTAAATTATATAATCCATAGGATTTCATTCAAAGGTTCATTTTTACATAGGTTTACTCATAGTACTAAATAGGCAGCGATTAATCAAAAAATGTAAAATTATATAGATTTAACCAATTTATTTATATAATAACTCACTCATAATTAAATTAATTTTAATTACAACTATTTTATTATAATGTAAATAAAACGTGTTTTTATTTTGATTTTATTTAAAATATCATAATAACACAAAATTTTTTATTTAGGTACTAGCCTACTACCCGTCGCGTACCATTATTTTTTGTGCAAATAGATAACCCTGTACCTCTAAGCTTACTCTGTTTTTTGTTCTCTAACTTTATGATCAACTCAAAACCAACTTAACCTAACCTAAACCAAATCAATATAACCTAAACATAATAAATAGCAAATTATAACGCGCTGAAACAATAGGCGTGGCGTTGTTATATCGTTTGATATCCATCGATACATTTCCCTATGCGTTGGTTATACACGGGAGATTTGGGTACATTTACGAAGGCGTTGGGTACATTGCCCGTGGCGTTGGGTATATCTAGGATGCTTGGGTACATTGCCCGTGGCGTGGGTTATCCATTGGACGCCTGGGTACATTTACCAAGGCGTTGGTTATGACATTATATATTCATTATAAATTTTAATTTAGTTTTATTTATAGGTACAGCTAATGTTGAACGTAGTTTTTCAATATTGAAAAACATTCATTCAGATAGGCGTTCTAGACTGTCACCCGATAGTTTGAATTCATTAATGATTATAAAATACAATGGTCCGACCGATGTAAAAAAATTTAATTCTATTTCTCCTGCAAAATATTGGCTTGACGTTGATAAGAAGCAATTTGTTGACGAGATTGTGCCACGTGGAATGAAACGTAAATTCGATTCCGATATTGACTCTGACGATCGTAATTTTATTGAAAGCAACTTGTTTTAAATAAATTTTTTCACACTATATAGCAGTTATTGTCTAATTGTTATTAAAAATAATTAAAATTCTTAAAATTACAATATTTTTATATGGCAAATTTTTCGGTCAACATACAGACCGAGGGTTATTTACACAATCAATATGTATATAATCTATACGTTTTTTGTGGGAATTATAAGTAAGGCTTCTTGTCTGGTTAACGTTATAAAAATGTATAAAAAGGTTTTACAAAATATAATATGCACTTTCCATGATCGTGCACTTTCTATAAAGTAAACCATTTTAAATTCAGTTTACATGTAAACTTAGCATACGTTTACAAATTATGAAATTAATGAACCATATATTTGGATCATTTTGCATTTTCATATGAATTTCATTATAAATCCACAATTTAATTGTTAACCACAATTAAGCATTGAATAATACGGGTTATAGTGTTATACAGCATAAAATGGACAATCATTAAAGTGGGCAAAAAGGATGTGGGCTTTACTTTTAGCTTTTTATTTATGTTTACTTATTTCAAATCGTATGAAATATTAGGACTTTTATATTAGTACCACTTTTGGGACCGTTTTTCTTTAAAGTCATGGAATTATGATAATACCTACTTAATTAGTAATTAATCAAACATGCCAAATAATTAATACGAATAATGATTTAGTAATTTAAATTAAGATATTATGACTTGATACAATTGAATACGTAATTATAAGTTATTTTAAATCAATTTATTTATGTTAAGTGTATAAGAATGTATTTTTAATTCTACCATTGTTAATAAATTATGATCCAATTTAATTAAATTTAACAAAAACAATTTTATAATGTATGAAAAATACACAGTAATTATTTAAAAATAAAGTTAAAAATAAATGTTTTCTATTTACTATCATAATAATTTATATAGTCGCATGTTTAATAAATCATGTTGATAATTAAAACTAGAATAAAACATATGCATTTGGCTTATTAACATAATAAATTATTGTAAATGGCGTATTTCATAATAATTTTAAAATCTTAAAATGCATCTACAATATCTGCATATGACCCGAGTAATTTATGAATAATTTATGTCCAAATAATTTATGTATAATGCTAATTATAGTAAACACAATAATAAAATATATTTCTTGTTGTTGTAATAAAATTTATTATTTTTAAAAATTATAATTTTTATTTTACTCATACAATGAGTGTCTGCTATGGAAATTATACCGGTGTGTACCGAAATGTAATAAATTATACCAATCATCTTGGGAGTAGTTTGATTGATTATGGCCACAAGTTTTTATATAATAATAATTGTAAATATATTCTCCATTATATTACTTACAATCAAAGATTGTACTGTATTGTTAAATACAGTTTTATTTTTACATGCTTGTAGGTTTGTCGTTACAAATTTTAAAGCATTTAAGTTAATAGACATTAATACTTTTTATAACCTGCTTTAGTGATGGTGATTATGGTTATGGTTAATTAATATAGGTAAATATATACAATATTTATATATTACATGTATTATTGTCAAAATATTAATATTACATAATATTAAATTACTACATAGAACATTACTAATATTTTTCATGTTATACTGTACAGGTTAAATCATGTATTATTCTAATATTTTATAAAAATTAGCTTATTTTAAATAAATTTTTAATATATTATTGTGAGCATTTAAGCATTGATAGAATAAAATAATTTGGCTGTATATTTATTAATTAAATTATAACATTAACATTTAGAATCAATATTTGCACAAGATAATAAAATGCTCAAGGTTTTACAACTAATGCTTTTTAATGACATTATTTGTATAATAAAAATCTTAATTGTATTGTTTGCCACAATATATCATTAATTTATAATTAGAACACTATAATTTAGCATGATAATATTTATAAATGATTTGTAACATGAAAATTATGTTTATATTATTATTATTAGATGAATAGGACCTAAACTTCCTCTTAATTGAATGCAACTCTTAAGATGTAAACAAGTTTTTTGTTACAATGTTTTAAGCGGTGTCTAAATAAAAACTATTATCATATTATATTTAAATATATATTGTATAAATATTATTAACAATATTAGGCAAACGACCATATTAACAAACATTTTAAGTTTTGTATAAATATTAAATGTAATAATAATTACAACAAGTTTATAATTAAAATTGTACGATTGTTATATTAGAATATAAATTAAATTACATAACCTACTAAATTAAGTGCGGCCAAAATTAGCCTAACCTCTCATCTAATCCTTGTGTTGTAATGTTTGCACTATTCATATATTAAGTGTTACGTTTATAATGAATACTTGAAAATCACCTTGGTGATTTAATAACCATATCATATTAAAAATATTCCCGATTTACCCTAGACTGTTTTAGACAAAAAATAAGTCAACCAAATGTTATATCTCGTAAACAACAATAATGTTTAAACGGAAAGCAAAGAAACCCAAAGTGAAGGTCAGTGTCGACGCGGACTACCCGTTGCCGCCGGAGTTGAGACAACACGACTGCGGAACACATCCTTACGTTCGGGGCCTCACATCCCACCGATGGGCCGATGAGCGCAGGCATCGACTCCATCACCCGGTCATCATGTTTGTAGCGCTGACTCTGGGTTTTATTCGGGGTATATTTGGTTACCTAATGCCAAGAGACAGACAACTGGCCATTTATGTCGGTGATTTTGCGTACTTTCTTAATGTAAAAGCTCAATTAAATTTGGC